AGAATTGCACAAAATCGGCATCCATGTACCTCCAAAAATCGCCAAGTTTCTCCAAGGGGTACCCTAAACTATACTTTTACCATAGAGTCTTCCCCAGTGACCGAGTGGTTAACACTGCCCAGGTCGATTTCGGCTCGATCCCAAGCGAATGTGCTGGCTGCATGGATTGTTTTCGTCGGTTTTCGCATTTGTAAAGGCAGTTTCGAGCCAGTTTGTTTTAGGAGTTCTCCACAAAGTCATTTAGTAATTTTAATTAAATGTTTAAAACAGTGCTTTGTCCGATTCATGGGTCTTTGTGCTACTGTTAATGGCAGCATGAAGGTAGGCATGCTGTCATATTATCGAGTACATGAAAGATTGATATTTTTAATAAGACAGAACAGCTAATGTTCATTGCAACCAATGTGTTTTAAAATTTCTTTTAAGCACATTCTTCAGAGGGATGGATTCGACGAAATGGACACTATACTCGGCCTGCATAAAGCTTGTATTCAACTTTACTGGATGTTTTCTTTCTGAATCACTTAAAAGCACATTTACAAAACAAAGATTTAGGATCTTGTCCATTTGAAGGAACGAATCAGTGCAGCAGTTGCATATTCTAATTCTCATTATTCCTACACTACATAACTTCATTACATATCATTAATAGGTTATGATAATAGGATGGCTATGGTGACAATGTTATGATTAAATGGGGCAGAAATATACATGATCATTGTTTAAAAAGGGAAATTATTTGCTGCAGTTTACTGAGATGCATTTAAGTTTTAAAAGTTTCTTTAGAAACGTAGTTTCAATTGCAATGCATACTATATCACAGTTGCGCATGAATGTTTCGCAGAACACACGTTACAACACAACGATATCAATTCGCCAAATTTTTCAAATTATGGCATGAATTAGCTTCTGAAAACAGCGAAACAGCGGAATAATACAATTTTAAACCTAGTGTATCTCCGTAGAAAAGCTCTGGGGGCATTTAAGACAATAAATCGAACTAGGCATTTGGTGCCTCTCAACTGAGAAATCAAATGGATTGGAAACACCTTAATAGTAGAGAGATGTATCTGTATTTGGTATATTGAAGTCCTTACGTTTTAATGGAGAACAACAATGCTATCACTATGGGTTGATTTCAGTACTATATACTATATATAAGGTTACGCCCTTATTTTCAGTACGATAAGGTTACCGAAGGGATAAAAAGAATTTGACTGGGTTATTTATATCATGGCAAAGAAAGAAGGCGAAGGGAGGGATGTTTTCGTGTAGGATCTTTTAAGGAAATTTGTCTCGTATTCATTTACACATAGAACAAGATGAAGCATGAATATTCCTGAAACGATATTCTTCGATTTGGTTTTGTGGTTTGGAATCAATGGTTCGATCTCCCGATCTAATGACCACGGTTTTTTCTTTAAGAATACACAAAGTTCAAAATGGGTGCTACAACCTGAATATAGCGACTACACTGTTTCCCTAAACTTAAAAATTGCATAATAAGTAAAATTCGCCAAGCTGATATCTCTGTTTTGTAGCACGTTAATCTGAAACTTACTCGACTGGATTAATTATAATATAAACTAATTTTAGACGTTAAAAATATGTTTCAATAAATTGCAGCATAACATCTTCTTTCTATTAACATTGTTTGCACATATTCTAGTTCTTTTCGCAAATAGACAGAGATAGAACAACAGTATTTGCACGTATTCTGAATAATTACTTCATAACACTGTCATAAAAATCAGATTCCCACATCCTGTAGTTTAAACAAAACCATTATGCTTAAAGTGGTGAGTTGGGCACATATGATAAATTACCCAGCATGGCTTATGGTTTATGTGATTACGGCAAAGCTTCGAGCGCTATCTAAGGAGAGGGATGAGCTCGTGGAGGACTTTCTAAGGGAAACTGGCTTGTATATACGTTACACATGGGATGCGCTTGTGAGCTAATTGATTTTTAGATTTACGTAAAAGATTATTTCACGATGCCTCCAAGAAGATTGTTGCCTAATAGTGTGCGAAAAAAAGGAACCTGGCCTTGAATTAAGAAAGAATCATAGATAAGCATAAGGGCGTGGTGTAAAAAGTGATGGAATTGGCAAGCGTTCGACATCGACGATCTGCACTATTCTGAAGAGGGAAGAAATTAAGAAACTCGATGTGGCCAAAGGAGTCGCCGTTACTTCCAAGCGCCGTCCCAGAACTCCTAGAAGATGTTGGAAGCGATTCGATGTTGGAAGCTATTATTTGAGCTAAGGCTAAGAATCTGTACTTGAACCTTCTCCGAAAAACACGTGTACTGAAGATGAGATGGTAATGAGATATTTGGGAGTGAGGAATGGATTAGCTGGATTTCCATTATTTTCAATGGGAAGTTTGTTTCTAGATATGAGAAATTCGCTATACGAGCTCCATGCTGAAACGAATGAAACTCGTACCTCGAGGTTCCACTTTATAGCGCCAAGCTGGCAATGAATTTGGCGATTAATTTTTGCAGGAAATTCGGCGAGAAGTAGCCAAATGTCATCAATATTGGCCTTTATCTGACAGTATTTTGATCCGACCCTTGTGTTAACTCTAACTGGGTCTATCACTATGTAATTGTAATCATATCCGGCCCCATTAACTGTAACTGTGTGTGCTTTCTAGCAATTTCGAGAAATCGAAAGTACTGGCAATTTCTTGGCCACCGGAGAAAACTTATAAGACAGAAAAGAGTATTGGTTTGCACCTTTTATTTCAGATTGAGTTTGGCGTAATGAGAGATTTCCGTGTGAGCTTCGCTCATTAGATGCACTTTCTATTGCGTTGTGTTAAACGTTCTTAGTAGTTTGAAGTGGTGACTACTGATTGTGCACTTCCATACTGAGAAGAGCTGTATGATTACTTTTGGGGAAAGTTTCAGAACTGTAAAGCGTTTGTTTTGGGAAAAAAATTCATCAAGCTACCAGCTGTTTTGCGTGCATTCAATTCATTACGAAAACACGTAACAATGTGTTTATATTATAAAGAAATAGACATAACTAATGAAGTAAGGTAATAAACATAAAAGACGAAAATTCCAGATATTTTCTTTCAGTTATCCTCTAATTTCTGTGTCCTCCTTAAAGTTTAAGTAATTATATTGTTTTCTTTCAGTTGCAATGTATTAAATTTTATAGTCAAGAAAATATTTTAAATCTTAATACTTTATTTCTTTTTAATTTTTTTATTTTTGTAAGAATAGAGAATTAATAGCAGGAATCACATCGAAGTTATATTGTAAGAACGTCTGCTATACTAGAAGAACGCATCATTTGCAATTGCTGCACTGATCCTTTTCCTCAAAAGGATAAGATTTTATATCTCTGTGCTGTAAATGGGATTTTATATTACTCAGAAAGAAAGCATTCTGAATCATATAAAATTATAGAATATTTTATTTATTATCTTTTAAAAATGAGATCTTTTAAATTAATTACACTTTTTGTTTAGCTTTCTAGGTTCCATGATTGGAAGTACAATCACGAATTATGATGCAGGAAGAAGGTAAATTCTGTAAATACAAAGTTTCTTCAAAATTTATGTTTATAATTTTATTGCTATTAATTTCTTTCTTTTTCTTCTTCTTTATTATTATTTTTTAGACTGATGGCATGATTGTTTTATTTTAAGGAAAAAAATCCATTGCTTTGATTAACTAGATACTGTAATCTTTACGTCATAAGATAATAGGAAACTTGAAAATTTCCTTAAAATTACTTTTGTGTTGCATAAAAGGACAAATAATAAAGTCAAGGAATTAGCTACATATGAGTAACGAACTATCTACAAGTAGCATTTGGAGTCTTTTTCTGGATTTACTACGCTTTTCACACGAGTTATATGTAATTTATCTAGGCACACGAAACTATAACTACAGGTATGTATATTTATTAAGAACTCTCTAATTTCTACATTTTAAATTATTATTATAACTACATTTATTCATTACACGCATTTACTATGAAACAAGCTATGTAATCAAAACTAAATTTAAACAATAAAGTTTTAAAACTAAGAAATTTTTTGACTTCTTCTTAAAAAGAAGAAAAGTGGATAATTCTTGATAATATGATAAAACTAAGTATTCCGTATTTACTATTTAAAATTGTAGATTATTATATAAAGTAAATATCTATGTATTCCGTATTTACTATTTAAAATTGTAGATTATTATATAAAGTTTGGTACTTAAGTACTCACTGGAATATGCAAGGGTAGATAGCGAGATAATATTCATGACATCTATACGTTCCCTTTGTTGCTCTGTAACTTGTTCGTTGTGAACGGAACCTCAAGGTGGAACAACTATCCTCACGGCGGTCAGAGATTTGTGAACATCCACGCAGAAATCCAGATCATTTCCAGGTCTGAACTTGCCTTCATAAAAGTATTCTGAATATTAAGGTTTACTATATGGAATTCTGGATATTCTGTACGGAAGCTTTGATTTCTTTGATATCCAGAATATCAGCGTGATATTTCGTTGATATCCAGAAAATTTTCAGGTGATTCAGTGTTGCTGCTACAAATCCTCGAAGATAAGCCATACATCTTTCTGTGAGAATATTAACAAATGGACTTAAACTGAGAGCTACCACTGCGACTTTCTTCAAATGATTATTAGAGTATCGCATATCTGAGATTCCACTCTGTGCGAAGAGTTATACGCTAACGAAAACGACATACTGAACGTATGTGCATCCTGCACATTCCAATGAGTATACCTTTATACGCTCTTTATTGCAATATTCTATATATTAAAATCTTTATGTGTCATTTAGTGTAAGACATTTCGTGCGTCATGCTGTATCATAAAAATTTACCGCCGCTACTAATGTAATTTAAGTCAAACTTCGTTTATATATATATATATATATATAGGGTATTTCAGCAAAATGGTTACAAACTTTTTTGAGAGACAGAATACACCTAGACGACGGAAAATCACATAGCAATGGGTGGTCGGAAGCGCTTTACAAATAAGAACAAAAACAGACAATAATCGTCATTAAAGAAGGTGTTCGAAATCCTGAACCCAGACACTCACATATCCGGCGAATAGAAAATCTACATCACGCACGGAAGATCGCATACAAGATGCATGACGCACGGTTCCTGCTTCACGTTCCGAGTCCTAATATATATATACGAGTAATAGCTACAGACGCTTTACGAAAGACTAACTTTTTATATTTTAGCTAAACATTCGGATCCTGACTTCTACAGGAAAGAAATTTTTAAGTCCAAGCGGTTATTAGCCCAAAGGGTCAGTTTGCCCAGAAGGGCTATTAATTTCGATTTCGCTTTTTGCATCCTCCGCTATAAAACGGCGTTTTACTTTGAAAATTGTTGCCACCAAATAACAGAGTCCTGCATTATATTTAAAGAAATTAAATAATGAAGAATATGCAAGAATGTATGTATGTTTCTCGCATTCTGAAAAACCAACGGTACCTAGAGACATCAAATTTTGAATAACGTAGTCCTCCACTCGAATATGGGCATCTGGAAGCCCAAATTTGGAATCTGGAATTTGTTTTATTATCTGTTTATGTTTTGTGTGACTTTAACGCACTTTTTGATTAACCATCTTATCGATTTCAAAGCGAGCAAAGGCAACAGTGTACGGAAAAAAAAAAAAAAAAAAAAAAAAAAAAATCTCCAGCGCGCTAGACTGTGTATCAGAAATTCTAAAGATGTACTCTTTTTAAATAATTTCTGATATTGCTGTTGAATTGAATTTTAAGATTAAGTCTGAAGAACATGATATTTAATAAATAAAGTAAGACATAAAACATTAAAAATCGCCCCTTTGGATGTATATAAAATCTGAAAACTTTCATATTTTTTAAAAATATCTTTCCGTTGTTATTTTTTAATTCCTTTATTGTTTAATTACATTTCAATAATTGCATGTCGGCAACAATTCAAAGAGTCAGGGGGGAGAATTTGAAAGGGCTCAGATTTTAGTGTTCGCCCGAAAGGGCTACTTTAAAGTTCAATATGATTTATCAGCAGAGCTTATCAATATAAATATCCCAGGTGAAATAACGAAACATTTTTCAGTACATTAAATGAATATTCATTAAGGTTAATAAAACTATTTAATACTTTTAATTAGATGTGTCATGAATTAAAAGCATCTTTATTTTAATCAATAAGGTTAAAAAGTAAAAAGATATAAAAGTATTAAGGTGTTTTATGAAATGAATGCATTTTTGTTTAAATCAATCATGTTAAAAATTTTAAAAATATTTTTGAGAACTGCATCTATTGTTTTTAAATAATTTAGTTTGTTTATCTTTAGCAGACAATGAAATATGAATTAATTTTTCTTATGTTTTTCCGAATGGCAACAGATTTGAATGAAATGTGAAACAACGCATTTACAGAAGACCACATAAAATCGAGTTTTTAGACTCGATTTTTAACCCGTAATTAAGCTAATAAAAAATAAAATAAAAATACAAGAAAAAAAAAAGCCATCATATATAGCCGTTAAATGGGAAAGGGAAATTATGAATGAAAGTGTTTCATACATTTCGGGTATACTGGTTCCTTACAATTTTTCGCAAATACAGAGAGTTTATTTTACATAGTTTTTGTCATGGAGGAATTTTAAGTCTACTTTTTTACAGTAATACTAAACTGAGGTTTCTGAATTTTAAGACAGTGTGTGTTTCTGGCATCCCGTACGCTCTACGTTGTTAGTTTTCTGCCAGTTGATAATTATAATTATTCGGCTTTGCTTTCTGTTTCTGCTGACACTTTAATTATGACGCGGATCTTTACTACACTTTAATTCTGATTTGGCCCTAATAAGACGCTTTAATTTTAATTCTTTAATTGTACTTCCGTTTCTCTAGTAGAGTTAGTAAGCCAAGTTCTATTTAATTTTTAATTCCTTCCTGTGGACTGTTCTATTTTATGTTGCATCACCACAAGTTGTGGAATTTGTATCACAAAGGAGAACTTTTATGTTCCAAAAGCCTGCTTGACTAAAAAGTTTAGTTTAATCTTCTGAAGTCTTTATCTTTGTTCACAGACATACCGGTAATTTGCTTCATGTCTGTTAGGGTTATTTGACTAAAATAGCATTACCCGAGCAAATGTGATCCTATAACTTATATAGTCAGTCTGATTTCAGAACAAAGCATTGTTTATGAAGTAGAATCAAGTATTATCAGCAGTACCATTGAGTGAGATTTTTGTTGAAAGGTTTTGTAGTGAATAATTATCCAAGAGATTTTCATTTTTTTCTTCACATAGAATAATTTTCAGTAAAAGAATAGTACTCCTATGGTATTACCATTTCTCAAAAGACTAATCTTTGGAAACTTTTACAGACAAACTCTGCTGTTAACAATTGCCTATCTAATTTTTCTTTATATATAAATACTTTATATATTATTATCATTGCTTTAACCAATGCGCCATATTTGAATATTTACTACTTTTTTGTTCCTTTTCAATGCAAAACATCCATTTACAATATAAGGTATTTCTCCCGCCTTCTTAGCGTGCCTTCGTGGTGTAGTGGTTCTGCATGCTGGGCCGGTATTCAAGAGGTCCGTGGTTCCATTCACGGCGAAGGCGATTGCTCATTTTTCATCTTACTTTCTTCCAAAAAAATCCTAATGTCTCTACAGTGGCGCCCGAACTAAAAGGGTGGTGAATGATGATTCTCTCCACCCAGGATTTAGCGATTGGGTCCCCTAAAAACCCCAGTCGCCCTTTAAAAGGGGGAGTGTGTAAGGTATTTCTCCCGCCTTCCTAGCGTGCCTTCGGGGTGTAGTGGTTCTGCACGCTGGGTTGGTATTCCAGAGGTCCGTGTTTTGATTCTCGGCAAAGGCGATTGCTCTTTTCATTTTACCTGCTTCCAAAAAATCCTAACTTCTCTACAACTTGTTGCTATAATTTTTTGGTCACATGTCTTCTTTTTTAATTAAATGCATACAGGTGAAAGGCAAACGCGTCTATTACGTTCATCATACTAATTCTTTGTTTTAAAGTTGCGTCCCTAAAGAAATCGGACAACAAATTAAAAGACCAAACGATATTTTAAAAGTGTGAAAGAATAAATGTATGTTTAGAATAGTTAATGTCGACTCTTGTTAAAGCTAGTTTAAACTGTTTGCTTTGACGTTTTCATATCAAAGCGATGCAGACATTTTCATTTTAGTATTTACATTGTACACAAAAAAACTGCTTTGAGATGGAAAAATGTTATAACATTAAACTTTATTACAAATTAGCTAAATCTGCTACCGAAATGTTACACATGATTCGAACAGTATAAGTGACGCATTTTATTATGAAGAACATAAATGTATGATTAGTATAACTCTTTTGAACATGGGCACGAAAGCACTGAAGATGAACCAAAGATAAAGTGTCCTTCAGTTACAAAGAATGAGGAAAGCATAGAGAAAATTCGTTCTTTGGTAAAATCTGATAGACGTGTAACAATTCAACAACTTTCAGACGTGCTTGAGATAAGCAAATAAAAGCTGTAGATTAAAGTTAATTAAAAATTTGAAAATGAGGAAAGTTTGTGAATCAGATTTTAACAGAACATCAAAAAGAAGAAGCTTGCTGTGGAGATTTGCTGATTACTTGGAGACAGGACAACAATTTTTAAAACAGTTTTTTAAAGTGTATCGCAGCGGAAGATGAGACCTGGCGTCTTCATTACGACCCAAAAACAAAAAGATAAAATGCACAGTGGAAAAGGCCATCTTTTCCCATTTAAAAAAAAAAAAAAAAAAAAAAAAAAGAGCTCGGATGTCGAAAGCAAAGGCTAAGGTGACGCTGATTGCATTTTTTGATTGCAAAGAACTTTCTTTGAAAATTAATTAATTAATTACTATTCTTGAA